CGGCTCTTTAAGGCGCGGGGCCGCCCCGCCTCGGTCCCCGCCCGTCAGCCCCGTTCCCCCCCCGCCACCCCTTCTCCGCTCCCCTCCCGCCTCAGCCCGGCTTGCGGTAGATACGAGACACAAGATGCCCGTGATTTTGAGATTTTGGCTCGCTACAGAAGCCCGACGGTAAGGGGGTTTTGGTTTTGCACTGAACAAACCCGAAGCAAATGCCTTGGTGATGAACTTGGCGCTTTACACGTGTTTTTCTGTAGCGGAGAGAGCCTGGCTGGTGCCAGGAGAATCGCTGCGTGGGGCAGTGGGGTCCAGGCTTTTTGTTGGAGTCGGTTTTCTCAGTTACTCCTAAGCCATGATAAACGGACTGAAATTTCTGTCTTTCATCCTACAGAATATTAAGCTCACCCACTGTTGGCAGAGGAATTATTTAAAAGGGAACATGGTCTTGCTTTCACATAGATTCTGTCTCCTGTCTGTGCAGAGGGGTGGGCTCCCCTCGTGCTCCCCTCTTGCAGCAGTCCATGTGAAGGCAAAGGTTGCCTGTGCTCAATTGAAATGTCAGCCAGCATCAGTAGGGTGTCAAAGTTTGCAAAACAGATTTTTTGCCCAGCCAAATACTGAGCTCATTGACTTCTAAAGGTCCCCTGTCCATCTACTCTCTGTCACTAACCCAACTATAGCAATAGACAACTTTCCTCAAAAAAGTGGGGCTGGGGAGGGAAGCCATAGATATCCCCACTCTTTGCTAAAAATGTTCCCAAGAGCATCAAATACAGTTTGCAATGAAGGGAGGAAATTAAAATTGCTGAATAATGTGACTGTTAAACAAACAAAGGAAGGAGAAGAAACAAGGAATTAAAAACTGCCTTGATCTCAGGCATTCAAAACAGAAGATGGATGTGCTTGCAACAAACATAGAATCATGGAATTGTAGAACTATCCAGGTTGGAAAAGACCCTTGGGATCACCAAGTCCAACCATCATCCCTACTTTACCAAGTTCTCCACTAAACCATATCGACCAACACCACATCCAAATGACCCTTAAACACATCCAGGGATGGTGACTCAACCACCTCCCTGGGCAGCCTATTCCAGTGTCTAAGCCACTCTTTCTGTGAAAAAAAAAAATTCCTAATGCCCAGTCTACACTCATCCTGTTGCCACTTGAAGCCGTGTTTCCATTGAGAGGGGCTAAGTAGGTGAAGCTGCCATCACCTTTTGTGGCTGTGAACTTTTCACCCCATCAGACACCCACAGCCAGTAGGCCAAAGTTTTAATTTGCTGCTTTCCTTAACTAATGCACTTCATATCTATTTGTGCACTTTCTTCTTCAGATAAGTTTGTGCCCACAAATATGGATACTGTTAAGATACAACTAGACGAGTCATTCTCGCTCTACATCCTGCTTGTGTGACATTTGGACCACTTGTGTCCCAGCCAAGAGTGGCCTCCTTGGTACTACTACAATGAGCATGGGAAGGAGCACCCATGGACCCTTCTCCCTATGTGGGAGGTGCTGAACCCTTCAACATGTTTGTTAGGGTCTTCCTGGGAGCAGCTCCAGGGTGCAACCAGGGAGGTGCCTGGGAGCTTCTGGAAGATATCTAGAGAGGAAGGAGTGCAGTGATACCACCTCTGGAGAAAAGCAAGGTATGATCAGCAGCTGGCCAAGCCTTAATGGTTTTGGAGTGAACTTTCTAGGGGCCAGGGAGGAGCAGGGAGAGATTTTGGCAACTCAGCCATGCATGGGCTGGTGGGGGAGATTGTCTGAAAGGACGCAGTCGTGTGTTTGCTGTTTAGGCATCTCTGCTCTGTTTTATCTGATTGCTTTATCAGCACGAACAAAGATAACTAACATAAATCATAGCCATGTAAAACATGATATATGGGAGTTCAAAAGCATTCTTCCTTTTTTTTTTTTTCTTTGCTGGGTGCAGAACGAGTGATGACTGATGCCCATTCACCTCAATGTTTTAGCTGAGTCATCGTGGTTTTACTCGTTGGAAAGCCTGGTAGCTGTTTCATGATTCAGCGTGCAGATGCAGGAAGTGACTTGTCCGTAACTTTTTTAAGCATGGTAATTATTCTCAAGGCATTACTATCACCTCACTGGATGTTTACTAGTGCCTGATTTCACGTTCTTATTTGGCTTGTTTTTTTTTCAGATTAAATACTTGGTTAGAAAGGCCCAACATGAGGCAGCCTTGCTGTTAGTGCTCCTTAGGGAAGCAATGTACATTATTTTCTGGAACTAACCACTAAGGAGCCTGTCACAAATGTCTCCTTCTGCACAGCTGACAAGAGAATAGCCACATGCAATAAGGGGAGGAAACAGGAAATGTGTTTAGTATGTGGATTTTGGGGTTTGGGGTTTTTTTTAAGAAAGATGTGGAGAGTCAGTTGTGTCAGAGAGAAATGTGAAATATGGTACAAGACTGTCCATTGCAATGTAGTGATTGCAAAAACAATGAAATTAAAAGCATGAAATAATGAATAGCAGGAATTCAAGTATTTCCATTTATATTTTAATAAAACCTGGTTGTTTTGTTTGTTTGTAAGCTTGCTTTCTGTGAGTTTAAAAGCCTACTGGGCATCTTTGCAGAATTCAATATGGGAAAAGATTGAGACAGAACAGAATCACAGAAAGGTGAGGTTGGAAGGGACTGCTAGAAGTCATCCTGTCCAGCTCCCCTGCTCAAGCAGGGCTGCCTAGAGCAGGTTGCCCAGACTGTATTCAAATGGCTTTTCAATATCTCCAAGGAGGGAGACACCTCTGTGGGCAAACCGTGTCAGTGCTCAGTCACCCTCACAGTAGAAAAGTTTTTCAAAATGTTCAGAAGGACTTTCAGGTAGGTATAGTGCTTAGGGACATGGTCTAGCAGTGGACTTGTCAGACTTAGGTTAGTGGTTGGACTTGATGATCTTAGAGGTCTTTTCTAATCTAAACAATTCTGTGATTCCTCTCTTTCATTTTGTGCCCAACTGCTTCTCCTCCTGTCAGTGGGCACTACTGAGAAGAGCCTGGCTTCTTCCTCTTTACCCTCCCTTCAGGTATATATATATGGATAGATAGATAGATAGATAGATAGATAGATAGATAGATAGATAGATAGATAAAGATCCCCCTGAGCATTCTCATCTGCAGGCTAAAGAGCTTCAGCTCTCCCAACCTCTCCTAACATGAGAGATCTTTGGGTCCCTACGTGCTCACCTCACTCCGCTCTGTGTTTTAGCTGAGTCACGTCCCCGTCACACCCTGGGCAGCCTGGCAGCCCTCCCGGGGCACCCAGCCCTGCTCACCCAGTGTGTGGGGGCAAAGCAGGCACTCATCCACAGGAAGTGTTCAAAACATGGCTGTCAGTTCACAGGGTGCTTGCCAGCAGCAGGTTTTGTGGTTGTTCTCCTGGATGGCTGCCATAGTCCCTTGCAGCCGGCATTTCAGGGGTGAGCTCGGCAGCCATATGCTTTGTGCTCATTTGGAAATAGTGAGTATGTTTTGCTACACTGACAAGAAGCATCTTGTTGCAAATCTCTTCTCCTGCAGCAAAACTCTTTATCTGATGCAGGCAGAAACCTGTCCCGGCAGCAGCTCCTCAGGGCCTTTGTGGGTGGGTGTAGACATGGCATCCCATATCGAGTCGTGATACTCTTTTCTCCGGGTTGGGAATGTTGTGATGAGATGTGTCATGGAGTCCCTGTTTTTTGAAATGAAGCAGCTACAGGGTGATCTGCCAGTTTTCCTGGGTTTATAACAAAGCAGAGGGAGGCTTTTTGATAAATGTCTTTTCTGCTGGCTTGGTGAATTCTGAGAGACCTGCCTGCTGCATGGGCTCCTGGGCTGAGGTGTTTTCAATTGCCAGGTTCTCTGGCTCTGTGGGTTTCCTAATTCAACTGAGGTTTCCAGGTGAGATGAGAGATGAGGTAAGAGACGTGTTGCATACCACTGTGGAGTTCAGAGCCTTTTGGTTCATACTCAGTTTTGCTTTTGGATTATGCCTCTTTTACAACTATTTTACCCATCCCTTCATCCTAAATCTGTACCATGGGAGAAAGAAATGTTTCTCCTTACCCTTTGGGATCTCAAGCACAGCCATTTTAAGCATGTGAAAGGCCAAGCGCTAATCAGGCTGGAGATGTGAAAAAGTAGTCAAGACCATTGGTATTTTTCAAGTGTATTTTACTCTCGGTAAAATCCTTTGAGTATTTGTTGATGCCCATTTGACTGAGGCTCAGGGTAAGGCCCTGCTAAGAAGCACAGCTACATAACAGGAGGCTGTCTGCAGCAGATAGCCTTGGGTTTCCTTTCAGGTGAAGGGAACCCACTTGTGCGTGGCAAGGCAGCTCCATGTCAGCAAGAGATGCTGCCTGGGAAATGGTGGTGATCACTTGAATCATCACACGTGCTTTCCTGATCTGAATGCCAGTGCTCATGCAGAGGTCCCAGTAGAGAGGCCCTGCAAATAAGCATCCTAAAGTAGGCTGGGGAGATCACAAGGTTGGAACATTGGTGTCAGAGCTACAAGGTGAATGGATTGAAGTGGCCTCTCTCTGGGATGTTGTTTAAAGTGCAGGCAGCAGCTGAGAGTTTGCTCAAGACAGGAGTGACTATGATGGGGCTGCCTGAATCCCCAGCCTTCAGAACAGAAGGGATCCAGAAGATGGATGTGCTTGCAAAAAAATTGTGTTCATTGAGAGGGCTTGAATGGGTGAAGCTGACATCAGCTCCTTC